ATCATGCAATATAATTGATTTAATGTACTTTATTTAGTTCACGTTGGTATGGACCCAATTTTTTATGATGATAAGATTAGTGCAAGGTAGTTAAGATATGGAGATTCTTGTGTGATAAGATTATGACAAAGTAGTTCTTGATTAATTTTTGTGTGATAGCATAACACAAATTAATGTAAATATTATTATGAAAATTCGTATTCATATTTATGATAATCCACAATTGAATCCATAATTTTTGAAAAATCACGAAATATAATCCATATAATGTATATAATTTACTTAATTGTTAGTTTCGTAATTTTTTTCTTATATAATCCTATGTTTGAAATATTTGGTAAAATTTGTATTATTTTATATCTTATATCATGGAATTCTATCAATTATAAACTAATCTACAATAGAAGGCAAAAATAGAATGTTATAATTTTAACTCGTGCGACATTTAATATAAAAAATAAAAATATTCAAATAAGAGAATTTATTATATAATAACACTAAAATTCATTATAGAATTTCGAATTCAACGACATTGAATGAAATTGAAATTCATAATAATCAAATTAACATATCATAAATATCTCCAGCTCCTCCTTGCTATTGCTGAGGGAAAATATCTTCATTTTGAGGAAAAAATCCATCATACTTGATAACATGCGTTCTTCCATGGAGCACAAGTTTCCATTTGTTGGTTATGATATCCTTCTTCCCATGATTAAATTCAACGACATAGTTGCTGATAGCATACACCTCGCCTTCATTCAATACACCTCGAAAGGCTCCCATATGTTTGGAGCGTATTATGCCTTTAATAAATGTACCCTGCAATATAAATTTATAAATATGAATTAAAATGTTTTTTCAAATTGTATATATTTGAAATTGCAAATAGATATATTTACCTTTTCATCATGAAACAACATATGGACTGCGTTCTAGCTCTCTTGTCGGTGATGCGTTTTAACTATTATGACTAATTTCAAATGCAGAAAAGGCTTGTTTCTCCTACTCACGGAATCGAGTGTATCCCAGACTGCTGGCATCTCTTTTTTTTTATCTGTAAAATTTTCATCGTTTTTTTTTCTGTGAACTTGAGAATGATCGGACTTTTTTTTTTATTTCTCCGAAATGTAATGTGTGACGTGATTTGTATGTAATGTGAATGGCGTTAATTGTTCCTCAATTCTATTATTTTATACCAAACAACATGATAATTATGGATCTTGTAACTTATCCTATTTCTTATTATTTTATTATTTTATACCAAACAACATGATAATTGTGGATTCTTTGTGACTTATCCACAAAACTCTTTGAAATTTCAAAACTCTTTTCAAATTTCAAATCAATTTCGTGTAACCATGGTTTTTGAAATTTTCGTGTGTAATATAATTGGTCTAAAAATGGTATCTATATTTAGAATGTCAAACTTTATTTTTTTTTTGGTCAAAACTTTCTAAAAATGTATTTTAACAACAACCTTTTTATATAGATATAGATGTCCTAAATATTCACTACATGAATCATAAATTATTTTTATTCATAAAATTTGTCATTTGAATGGGAAAAAAAAAAAGTGGGTCAATTGGCTTGACTTAATTTGCTCATTGCTCAGGCTAACTGCGTCACCTTCGGGTCATTTATAAAAATAGTCCAAAACAAAATACAACTTAGGTTACATCGACAATCACCATGTTATGAGTCAACTTGGTCTGATCAAATCGAGTGTTTGAAACTAGATATGAATTTTAGCAGTGTGAAAACTTTGTTTGTATAAATATAATGTTATACAAATAAACAAATATTCTTTTAACAATTTCAATATTAATTTCTTTCTAAGATTAATAAATATATCAATTAATGTAAGAAAAACTAAATTAATATGTTGATAAAATGAATTATATGTAACAAACACTAAATTGATGTTCATAAATATAATCTTAATGTGTTATTAGTTTATTTAGATAAAGAAATCAATTTATTTAAGTGACTCATGTAAGTAATTATAGATACACATCACACTATATAAATAAATTAAATAATTTATCTCTATATTTCAATAATAGTTGACTAGATTGAGTAGATTCATTTATGTTGGAAGCCTTATAGATGCGTCCGTCTGTCGTAATATGAGTATAATATTTCTAAAACATGAAAAAAAAAAATAAAAAAAAATAGAGGNAAACCGTCTTCGGCTAGATAAAAAAGGCAGCAAATTAAGAATACAATGTTGTAAGGAACATCATCCATGAACAGATGCCTGTAATAAATGTGGAGTCCTTTAAGAATGTGATAGATTTCACTTTCTACACTCTTTGAGTTGATTGATCTTCAAATTAAAATATGCGAATATACGTTCAATGGTCTAAAAAGGCATAAAGTTGTAGACTGCAGATGAAAAATGAATCGTTAATTTGTACGTGTTGGTCAAACTAGTTGTTGAATATTTTAAGTAGCTATGAATTATGATGTCCTAATTTTTCCAAATATTTTAGTTTATTCTTTTTTTCTCGGAGCTACTTTAATTATCTTTGTTCCTGGGATTAAATAGGATTATAATACGTATATTAAAACTCGTACAATAGCGGATTTAAGATATTGGGCCCAAATAGCACTGCGAAATCTGAAAAATAATATGAGAATAATATTAAATAAATATTTTATCTTATCATATTTTTAGTTACATTACACGGGCAACAACACAAGTAGGGGCTGACCAAGATGTAGAGGTGGCCATGGATCCGGCCCAAAACTGGCCGGTTGAGGCCCGTTGACCACGAACTTTGACTGGTATGTGGTTTTATCTGAGCCACTTCAGGTTCAACCAATTTTAAAAATTGAACCGCCAATTCCGGTTCCAAATCGAAACCGGCGGTTCGGCACCGAAAATTAATTTTAAATTTGATTTTTTTTTTAATTTTATGTTTTATATATATTTGTTTAAAAAAAATTAGTTAGGCCTGTAAATGACGGTCCGGTTCTGAACCGTGAACCGTAAACTGGCTCGAAACCGGATTTTCGCCACCTCTACCTAGATGGGGCGCATACCCCTTGATATATTAAATTTCATTATATATGTCAACATTCAATAAAAGAAAAAGAAAATGCAATATAAATATAAAAAATGTAATTTATTTATAATATCAATTTATATATATATATATATTGTAAAAACTATTTCCAAAATATGATTTATTTTTACATTCCACAATTATATTATCAATGTGTAATATTTTATATAATTATAAAATATACTCAAAGTTGTAATATTTCCTAACTCAAATTTGGAAATAGAAAAGGAACTCCAATTTTGTATTTTAAATTTTACTCTTGCTATTGTAAATAGTATCAATATATTTCCTATTCAAGAGTCTATTTTGGATAGTTTTTGACTTTTTAACATCATCGTTTTGTAACTCAATTTACAAATTGAGTTACATACTCTATTGCTTAATATTATGAACTGAACCCTGATTACTGTAGGAAGATAGGTACGTAAAAGACAAACATTATCTCATATTAATGAGAAAGTTTATTTAACAGTTTCTTGCACGGACACCTTTGGAAAAGGACAAACACAATTTAAGTGTATGTATAGTGATGAGTTGTTGCTAGCTAATAATACATTACATTTACATGGAGAATTTTCAATGATAGGAGAGAGCTAAGGATATGGAAGAATCAGATAGGCCCTAACTGAATTCTGATACATATATATAATAATGTGTGTGTGTGTGTGTGTGTGTGTGTGTGTGTTTGAATGTACTACGCCACATGAAATGAAACCTTCAATCTGTGTGGGGTTCAAGCTGAAAGTCTGTTCGGTGTTTTCACGTGCAAAGGAAGAAAAATGTCAATTTCCAATATTATTCGAATAATTTGTTTATTTTCTTTAATATATATGTTATGTTTGATGTGTGATTGATTTAAAAAGTTGGATAATCAAATTTTTTGGATGGGATGTATGTATATATATACTAGAAATTGTGCGATTGTTAATATTTAGTTGTGGCTATGGATGCATGTGAACCAAATAATTGATGCCTTAAATAATTCTGTTCTTGAGAGAAGACGACAAAGATCCAAGAACCACAGAAATGGCAGCCAAAATCAGGGAAATCGGAGTAGCATGTCATTTTTTTTTTTTAATTAATTAAATTTTAATTTCATTTCATTTCATTGGTTTGATTAAAAAAAATTCCAAATTTTACTTTCATTTGCTCGCAAATTAAATCGCGGATTTTCATCCATGAGTTTTGATTAAATGAGACTAATAAAGCATTGATAAAATAAGCAAATTTAGCCGTCCAGATGGACGTGGTGATCCACGCGCGAGTTCCGATTGATCTGGTGTTTGGGAAGATGAACTATATATTATCCCAATCGGATAAAATTAAAGCGGGCCTATCTATAAATAACATCCAATTAATCGCCATGAAAGATCCTTGAAGAAGTCAATGGCTGGCCCATCTGATTGAACAATACCACAACAATATATTTAATAATATATACTTGCAACAGCATCCATCCACAGTTGTGTAGAACTTGAAAAAGTACTATCTTCAAAATGTGAATATGACGCATAGATTGGGTTACGGAAAATTGGGTTTAATTCCACACTATCTTTATCAAATGGATTCTAGCCTGCATTTCTATCCTTACCTTTTCCTTTATTAATGTGAATGAAGAAATAAAAGATTTTGTCAGAACTTATAGGGTAATTGTGCAGGGAGACCCACTGTCTTCCTATCTCTTTATTTTAGTTTCCGAGTGTTTTACTAGACTTATAAAATTCTTAAATTCAAAAAGGAAACTTTTCTGGTATAAAAATCTCTCAAAGATGTCTTTAGTTTTCTCACTTACTGTTTGCTGATGATGCAATGATTTTTTGTAAGACTTCTAGGAGTCAGGCTCAAGCTTTGCTCAAAATTATGTTCAGATATAGAAGATTTAATTACAGATCAAAAGGTTAACTTAGCTAAGTCTTCTGTCCTTTTCAGTAGAAATATCGAGAGATCTTTGCAGATGCAAATTTGTGAGGTGTTAGAAGGAATTTTTATTCAAACTTCTACTAGGTACCTAGATTTACCCTGGGAAGTCGAAAAGAGAATGCTTTAATTTTGTGTGGATGCAGTAAGATCTAAGCTCATTAGTTGGAAGAATAGGTTTTTCTCAAATGCTGGGAAAGAGGTGTTAATTAAGTCAGTATTAAATGCTTTGCCAATTTTTATTATGTCATGCTTCTGTCTTCGAAAGGGTACTATCTGCCAGGATATATCTAAGTTGTGTTCAACATTTTGGTGGAGTAAAAGAGATGTCCAGCTCAATGGCATGCACTGGAAAGCATAGAAATATACCAAAAAATGAAGGAAGATTGAGTTTTCAAGACATTTGTCTCTTCATGAAGCCCTGATTTTGAAGTAGATTTGGAGGGTGGCTACAAAACCAAACTTGTTGGTTAGTCAAGTTCTGAAAGGGAAATATTTTGCACATAGTTCTATTTTCTAAGCAAAGATCAATAATGATGCATCTTGGTTATGGAACCATTGGATGAGAGTAAGAGATAAGCATCAGCCTAACTTCAGAATGCGTATCAGAATGAGTGGTCTACAAGACTTTGGTGTGATCCCTGGATTCCAAATTCAACTACGAGTTTGCCAATGACCGGAAGTGAAGTGACAAGAAGATTGACTTATTGGGTTGGTGATCTTTTGGAGGATGAAGGAAGAACGTGGAATGATGAATTTCTAGCTGATTTCTACGAAACGGATAGGATCAACATTAAGAAGATCAATTCTCTGAATCCAACATTAATAGATAGATGGACTTGGGTTTTTTATGAAAAAGGTTTGTTCTCTGTTGTCATGCTTATTCTCATCTTATGCAACAGAAACTCAAAAGCACTCAATGTAATTGTGAATAAAAAACAAAGTCAGTTCTTCAGTGATGTAAGAACACACACAGAATCACTATGTACAAAAGCAAAACTAAAAAGCTCACGAACACTTAAAGAAAGTCTGGAATAATGAAATCGATAATTGCAATGGTCTTTCTTTGAGTCTTGGATCAAGCGCATATACAAACTTCTAAAAAGTAAGGGGCTTTCACATTCTTATTCATTGACTCATTTCCTATGGAATTAATTTCCTTCCAAATGCTGCCATCATAACTCGAACGTGATCTCCCTTTATGTTGAGGCTGAGACCTTATGATCACAGTCAGTTCATATCTTCCTTGTCTCATGATCTTTCCATAAAAGTAAAGTGAATATTATAGAAAGAGATTTATCATATATGTACACTATTAGATGGGAAATGCTCACATGCCCACGGTGGGCACATGTTAATATGCCCACCGCTGATGTGGCATGCACACATTGGTGATGTTAATATGTTAAAAAAATACATCACCAATGTGTGCATGCCAAATAAGTCGGTGGGCAAATTAACATGTGCCCACCGTGGGTATATGAGCATTTTCCTCTATTAGATACTAATATATTACTTACCATACTAAATAAATATAATATATAAAGAACAAAACCTATATATATAATAAGAATAACCATTTACCAAAAATAGTAGCAAAAAAGTATGGGGGAATTTAATGCAATCCATAAATAGCAAGTTTTATTATTATTTTTTTTATCTTTACAAAATCACACAACATTAAATGTTGCCTTAAATTTTGAGCTTTAATTCATTTTGTTAGTTAAAAATTCTAGCTAAGATCTATTAAGTGTATATTTTTTCGTTTTTTTTTTTTCTTAGAAATGACGAACCATATTAAAATCTTAATCTCTATATTTGTGTCTTTAGAATATTAAAGTTTTAGAATATTAGTCTTTATATTTGTGCCTTTCAAAAAACATATTGAACGCTATTCTTTAAATATCATTTTCCACTAATCATCATAATTTATTTTTTTGGAACATGTGATAATAAATTTGGTAATGTTTATCAATTCTTTGTTTACCAATCTATTGTTTTTTCTAAACTCGGTTTCAAAAAGGTAAAATAATATTCAAATTTTCAGTCTCAATAGTTGTGCATTTAAAGAAAAATAAAAAATTATTTGTTAATAGTACACAATTTTGAAAACTCCATTATAAATTGTATGTTGATATCCAAATCATTTTATAAATGCAACGGCTTGGTTAAATCTCCACGAAAATATGGTAAAACAAAATGAGACGGGTCAACTTTGTACGGAAATAAAATAAAATCAATAAATCAATATGAAGTTTACAGTAAATGACCATAAATAGTAATTCAAATAGTACACGCATCTCAAAATTAATACTCACGTGGATTCTAAAATTCAAACTTATACTTATCATCATCTTTTGAAAACTAAATAATATTTTGTAGGCAAGGTTTTTTTAAATAGTTTTAGATATGTTTTCTTTACAAAATAGTTTAGAAAAATTTTAGGTGACTTCACATCTTTCAATAATGATATATAAAATTTTAGATACTTAACATACGTTATATAATATTTAAGGTGTTTTAATATTTTGAACATACATTTTTTATGTTATTTTATACAAGATAATTTTATATTGTTTACAACTGATATACAATAAGTTATGTCACATATTAACTCCACATCTTAATTTACAATTATTAGTTAATATTTTTTACCTTTATATTTAATTTATAATTATTAGTTAATATTATTTACTATCATCTTTAATTTATAACTATTATTTAATATTGTTTATCCGTGCATCGCACGGGCTACGTACTAGTTAAATTAAAGAGAGAAACTAAATTCCATTTTAATTTGTTTTTGCTCATTTTACCAAGAAAATCATCAATACGTTAATTTGTCGAACTTTTGTCAAAATTAAATCTTACGTAGAGCACAAAGTTCCATTTGAAATGTACGACCGCCACATGCAAGACATGTAAAAAGAGTGACTAACAAAACAATAGTTTTTGAGCACTTAATTTATAAACTTACCAACAGGCAACAAACACATACTATAAGAGAACGTGAAATACATGAAAGTAACACCCGACGGTTCCTCGTAGATTCATAAAGATTCTCGTAATCTTCTTGGCCTGATTTTCAACTTTTCTATATGTGATTGTGCACATAGACAGCTTTCACAAAGTGGACTTACAATGTGAAATTGGACTTTTTTTAGGGTAAAATCATAGAAAAAGAAAACACAAGAATTCAATGCAATCATGATTTTCATTGAAAAAACAATTCACAAATACAATGCTTTGAATTTCTTTTTGTATGATTTTGTAGAGTGGTTTTGAGGCGAGAGTTCCGATTTTTGGCGCATAATTTGGCTTGCATAATTAGTAAAGTCAGTGGACTGAGGGTCTAATTGGATATAGAATATCAAATTATAACTGACCTAATAATTATTTTAAATTAAAATTTAATTCAAATTTAATTTAATCAATTTTTTTCAATAATATCAATTAATCATTTCTACATATCACATCAATTTTAATTCATTATTCATTCACTCACATAATGTTAACTACCTATTACTTTCAATTATCTCTTTCACACTTTTACATCAAATTAATTTTAACCATTATATATTAAATATTATATTAGTATAACCTCAAAGGTTCACTCAAACCAAACTCAATCAATTTTTTTTAACAAAAAAAATAACTCATTTTATCAAACAAATTCAGTCAAATCCAAATAACTTCTAAATTTATCATTCAAAACCCGAGATATCTAATAGGCACTCAAATGGTCGTTACTTTAGCTCTAGCAATGGGGTATTATGTTAAATTACACTGTGGATGGTAAACCTTATGTATATTTAGTTAAACTTAATATCTCTTCCTCAAATAATTGTAGAGTTTTCAAAGAATAAGTATTAACTTTTGATATTTCATAATATTAAATATCATTTTGTTTTTATATTTCATAATGTAATGTGTCAACTTTTCTTGAAGTACTCCATGTAACCGTTGACTTCCATTTTTGTCTATTTGAACTTTTAGGATTATAAAACAATTAACCAATTTGAAAAATAGTTGTTATAAAATTTAATAGGTTATTATTTTATCAGATTCAATATATAATATTTTAATTTAATAATTTTTTATGATTGTTTAGTAGAGAATTGTGGGTATGAGGTAACCGAGCTACCCAACTCGGGTCGTTCTCTAAGGAAGGCTATTCGGAGTGTTGTTTGCTATTCAATTACCCAAAAGTACAAAACGAGAAAATAAATCCTAAACATCCTATTCAATGATTGGGGATTGATTTTAAACTAGATTAACTAAGGAAACAAGCAACGATCAATTAAGCAAGCAATCGAACTTAGAAACCCTAGCTTACTAAACTGGTGAACTCGAAATCAAGCAAAAAGAGAGAAAATAAGAGAAACGAACTCCATTTACTATGCTTAAAAGCTAAAGCCGAAAATCTTACTATGAAATTACCGAGCTCAATATCAAAGTCACGATGTTTCTTGTAGAAATTTACACTCCAACTAATCTCAAGCACAATAGATAAGCTCACAAAAAACGAGAACACGAAAAAAAACTAACGAGCAAAATGAACCATAAGACGAGCAAGCCCTAAATTACTTCTACTAACGAGATAGCAACTTGGTGCAAAAGTCAACATTATAAGCCTTAAAATTAAGTCTTTACACTTCTAATGCGTGCTTGATCGAAATCGGAATAAAAAGATATGAACTTGAATAAAATAGAAGTCGCCGGAAAAAGATGACATAAGGAGAATCTAGAGAGAAAAGAAAAATAAAAGACATTTCCTAAAGAGGTAAAGTAGCAAATGAAAGTCTAGGTAGCAGAATACAAAGCACCAAAGTCTATTTATACTAAGTAGCAAAAACACACACTGCTCACACACACATTTACTAATTTCTGGCATTCGCAAGTGGCCGAGGGACGCGTTTGCCGCGGCGCGGATCCGTGTTCGCTGCGAGTGCGCATGGCTGGTGTGGGGCGCGTTGCGCCTGGGGGTTGCAAAGACGCCTTCGCTGCAAGTGCCGAGAGCAGGGCTGTTGCGTCTGGCGCGGCGCGAACTCCTTCTCGCTGCGAGTGTTGCGTCCTTGGGAAATCGTCTGGCGCGGTGCGAACTCCTCTTAGCAGCGAGTGGCGAGATGGGTGGCATGGCCTTCGAGGGTTGTCTCGCGCGTCGCGAACCGAGGTCGGCTGCGAGTGCGGGATTTGGCAAGCCTAGCACGGCAATCTCGCAGGGCGCGAATACGAACTCGCGGCGAGTGCTTGGTGATGGCTGCAGCTCTAAGGGCGTGACTCGCGGATCGCGAACAACATTTCGCGGCGAAGATATCACTCAACTTAATTCCTTCGGGTTCCTGGGAAACTCGTGTGGCTCGATCCAATGGCTCGACTAACTCATGTCAGAACGGCTCGGCATTAAAATCATTGACAATGGCTCGGAAAATGGCTCGGATAATGGCTCGTCTCCCAAACATGCGTAATTGACCTAAACACACCAAAAAGACAAGAAAATACGCCAAAACACAAAAACACATAATAAAAGTGAAAACACATAGAACACGACAAAATGGACCGGTTGACACGACAACGAACCTAAAAATACTAAACTAAAACACATAAATCATACGAAAATAAACACAAAAGCACAATAAACAACAATATTTAATTTGACTTCCATATGCCATATATAAAATATTACTTTTTGATGATTTTCGATTGCATATTCACATTCTTTATATAAAATAAAAATATTAATATCAATGACTTAAAATAAATTTATATATCAGACTTAATATTATGTAAAGTATTGATAAACAACATTATACAATATTAGTCAGAAAAACTATTATAATTTAATTAATACGATCAAGTTTTATGGATACGATTAGAAAATAAATTCAAAACTTCTATTTTTAATTTCAATTTTTTTAATTAATCTATTTAATTTTGAAAAAGATAAACATATATTAAATAAAATAAATAATACTTTATAAAAATATTTGATAGAATTCGAAATAATATTAGAAAAATATTTTCTTATAAATTATTTATAGTTTTTTAATTCATAATAAAAAAAATATTTTTTTCCTCTTTTTGTTAGACAATTTATAATTTATGAAACACCTGTGTAATACACGAGCGTTGTACTAGTTCATATATAATTATGATTGTGCTGAAGGACAAACCACCACAAGCTCATCTGTGGATCGGAGTATAGAATTGGACGGTGTTGGGTAAGCCAAAATGGACCGATGCCATACTTTTGTGGCCCAACTCAACATAGCCTTTTCATATAGATCCAATATTACTCGGCATAGATATTACTTTAAAAAGTCCACATTTGGCAGAAATTTTTTTATTGTAATTTTATTGTGATTGAATATAAAATATTATAAAAAAAATAAAAAAATGTCTCATTCAAAATTAGAAATGCAAAAGTGGAAAAAACTATTTTTTAGAAAAGGTGAGATAAATTGAGAGTATGAATGAATATAAGATAAAAATGTAATTAGTAATGATGTGGTATGAAAATAATAAAACAATAATTAATAAGATTGATTGTTGGAAATATTCAATTAAATGAATATGTTTATATAATTATTTTAATGGAATTGAAGACAAAAAAAGTTAGATAAATAAATAGTACTTTATTCTTGTGAAAATTTTCTGTTTCATTGGTTATTTCAGTGATATAAATGTTGACTAGATAGAGGAATATGTTTTTTGTTTAACCAATCTATATATATATAAAGAGGTTGTTGGAAAAATACATTAATAGAAAGTTTGACCAAATAAATATAATACTTGACTTACTATTAATGGAAAATTCAAAAAAACAGATATGAATCTATAGTAACAAAATCTGAATCCTATTTTTTTGGCAACAAATTTAGAGATTCTTATAGCAAAATTTGAATTCTATTTTTTTTCGTATCATATTTTATTCTTTTACCAAAATTTAAATCATATCTTTTTTTGTAACAATTTGGAGATTCTTATGCAAAAAATGTGTCAATTATTTATGAAAACAATTCTAAATACAAATTAATTTAAAAACCTTGCAAATTTGTATAAATTTAAGAAATAAATAGTTGTATAATTCTTAACAAATTCTTCCAATATTACTGAATATTTTTTTCTTTCAACAAAAGTGTGTAAATTGGATAAAACTATGTGCAATTTTTATTTTAAAATAAAACTGATATTTGGACGGGATGTACATTCAAAATTGTGTCCACGTTTTTTGGTAACAAAAGCGGTTCATCTTTGATATTTATAGTCACCTTATCCAATTATTTAGGAAAAATTGTGTGCGACTTTTCAAAATTTGAAGGCATTGATTTTTTTGAATTCTTATGTTTTTTCTTAACCATGTTTTACCGAGATTTTGGTACGTTCATATCATTTTTTTTCTTGGTTAAGTTCATATCATTTTCTTTAAGAAAGAGACAGTTGCATAAACATTAATAAATTATTTCAATTTTTTTATTAGAATTAGTTTCAATTCAATTTGTTTGGTAAGAAAATTGGTGCAATGTTAAGAAATTTCGGTTGCAATTTTAGGAAAAATTGATGATTTTTTTATTTGGTTTAAAAAAATATTCGGATCAATTAGTTTGATAAAAAAATCAGTTTATTGGTAGAAAAATCGATTTCATTTTCAGGAGTAACTAATGATGTTTTCAATTTTTCTTAATTGAAATTTAGAATTAGATTTAAAATAAATAATGGGTGAAAATCCCTAAAAAAAATTTACTTTTTTTTCTACTTCAATTTTGTTCAATAAATAAGATCCTTTAAATTTTTTAAAATTTGTTAACTAATAACTAATAATATGCAATTTTGGATAAATTCGAACACCTATATAGTACTTTACGTGCCAAAGAATCAAATCAATAATGTTGTACATAAGGAAGTGTTTAATAACATATAAATTTTATTTTCATAAAATTTTTAATAGCATGAGACAATTTAAATACAAAAATATCTTTAAAAAATATATATATAATGAATGCCTCCGTGCATCGCACGGGCACCATACTAGTCTTACTTGAATCTCCACTTGTTTCACCGAAAATGATTTTTTTTTTTTTTCTAAAATAAATACATTTAATATACATTACATATTAAATTCATAAATACACAGATATATACACGAACAGCCATCATGAAGGCGGGAATCCGGAATAAAACCTACTTGGAGATTTTCTGCCACCTCTTTGCCCAGCGTTGTCCAACTGTTCTCTGCAAAATCAAATGGGAATAAAGGTAACCATTTTGCCTGCTATTCAATTTTCTCATCGGGCAGCAAGCTCATAGTTGGCGCCTCGCAAATTTCTAGGGTTTAACGAAGCTATTGGCGGACAATGCGCCAAAGGCTATGAAGGAGCAGAAATTCGAAAGCTATTTCGGCCGGAAAATTGCAATTGACGCCAGCATGAGCATTTACCAGTACCTTGTCAGTATATTTTATATAGCTGTGCTAAATACTAAATTTTATATACCTTGTCAGTATATTTCTTCTAACCCTGCTCCCTAGTAGTGTTTCTGTTAACTGGTAAGGTTAGTTTGAAGGCTTCACCAGAGGCTTGAATGAGTTCATATGAATTTATTGGTATATGGATAATGTGCATCAGCAAGGAAATGTATGAATATAAGAAAAATAATAATAAAATGGAAAATATGTTGATTGATGATTTCAGATTGTTCTTGGAAGGTGTGGTACTCAAACGCTCACCAATAAAGCTGGTGAAGTGACAAGGTACAGTCACTCACAAGTTGGTGTTTTTGTCATGAGTAACTGAAACTAATTTATGAAATTGCATTATAAGTAAAATGCTTTAGTTTGTCTGATTAAAGCTGTGGTTTAATTTATTAGAAATGAAACTTCAGTCTGAAAAGTACTTCATCACGAGTATATCCAGACCCTACGTGAAATTCAATCTTGATTTCTAACTTGTAGCTGCCCCTTTCAGTCATCTACAAGGGATGTTCGGAAGGACTGTCCGACTTCTGGAAGCTGGAATAATGCCAGTGTAATGTGTTCCTTTGTGTGTTATCTGTATCCTATTTTTCTGCATGATGTCTTCATGTGAAAAAACATTGTCGGCCTGTGTGTAGCTATGTCTTTGATGGGATGCCTCCTGATTTGAAGAAAAAAGAGCTTGCAAAAAGGTATTTTGGCGCTTGGATTGTATTCGTCGCTTTCCATTAATGAATATGGTTGTAAAGGTAATGTTTGGATAAGTTCTAATGGAGACTTCAGTATGGTTAATGCAGAGTTTTAAAAAGGGATGATGCGATCAATAGCCTGAACGAGGCTCTAAAGGTAAAAATTTTAAATGTACTGACAAATTCTTTTATCTTCATTTTCCAGACATTACATCTGCTGCCCCCTCCTTTGTATCATTTACAATCTTCAGAGTATCTAACAGCCTAATCCTTCCCTTGCCTTTGCAGACTGGAAGCATTGAGGACATCGAAAAATTTAGCAAAAGAACAGTAAAGGTCAGTCTATAGAATGCTTTAATACTATTGCTCAATATAAGCTAGCACCTTTGATAATAAATGCTTCTTGATGCTCTTTTTCCTTGATGAGTTAATGTACAACCCATCCTTAGTTGGAGGTAAATCGACGTACTGACAACCTATTTGGAAAGTATGAACGCTTTTAGAACTTTAAGGATCCTTAGACATCACATGCTATAATTAGGTCTGTCTGATTCTATAGTTAGGTCTGACCAGTGCTATGTAAATTGTCTGAAATGTTCATCTTCAATATGAAAACAACCTGCTTATTTGAGTTTCATTAAATTTATTCACCTTGACATCAATATGGCTTGCGATATTGGAAGTATGTGCAATATAGTACTTCTGTTAGGATTTTGGTCCCCTTCATTTTCCTTGTAATTGAATTATATGAGCTACACAGCTATATATCTGAAGCAATTGGGGGATATTCACTTTTTACTATCCACAGGCTACGGAGAAACATTATGAAGACTGCAAACGGCTTCTTAGACTTATGGGAGTGCCAGTGATTGAGGTGATGCAATAAAATATTGATTGGGTTTGTCTGAATTCATACGGTTTATCTTCACTCTTGCATTGTTTCTTGGGAAGTTATGAGCAGTGAACTCACTTTTTATTTTCTGGTGGAAGGACTCATTTACTCATTTGTGATTCTCTTGATAACTCACTTAGGCACCTTGTGAAGCGGAAGCACAGTGTTCAGCACTTTGCAAAGCGGGCAAAGTAAGTGTATTAATGCTATGTTTCCTTCCATGATTACATGTTCTCGCGTAGCGCCAGGAGTAGGACAACACTTGGAAATCGTGATACTTATTAGCACCAGGATTTCCGTAATAAGTGTCTGTTGAGAACTTGAGAAGATATAAGACCTACTGGTTCATGAACTGTAACACTTTCCCCAATCCCTGACCTTCAAAAACAACTAAAATGGAAGGAAAAAGAATAAGAAATTATAAGATGTACCTCTAGTTCTGCACTTATGTAGAAAATCTTCACTGCATGTCAGGTATATGCTGTAGCTTCTGAGGACATGGATACCTTAGCTTTTGGTGCTCCGAGGTTTCTCCGCCATTTTCTGGATTCTAGCTCAAAAAGGATTGATGTGATGGAATTTGAACTCATAAAGGTACTAAAATATTATTGGACAAATCTGATGGCACACTTCTCTGATTTTATGTTATGTTACAGGTTTTGGAGGAGCTGAACCTCACAATGGATCAATTTATTGATCTTTGCATTCTCTCCGGTTGTGATTACTGTGAAAGCATAAGAGGTAATATTTCATGTGGATGGTGTTTTCTTTTGAAATTTGGACTTACCTATCTGGCTCATACAACAGACAATAAAAATTCGGTAAAGAGCACCTTTCGGTTATCATGTAAACATGCTATCCCTTGAAATTCTTGAGAATAAAATATTTCACAAATATTCCATTTTATTTATGTATAAGGTCTCTATTAACTCATTGGACTATGTACCAAGTGTTTGTTGTGGCCAGGGGCACGGCCATGAAATTCTTTTCATCTGGGGCTGTAAAATGTACATCTGCTATTCAAATCGAGTTCTCCACTAACATAGTTCGGTTCGACTTGCTTGTATATTTAAACGAGTCAAGCTCAATAAACATATTGTGCTTGTCTATCATACTAGTCGAGTCGAGCGTGTTTGCGATCAACTCGGTTCGAGTTTTGGGTTTTGGTCTAGGTTTTAAGGTTTATTAAATTAAATAAGTCGAACGGAATTTATACGAGCCGAAGTCGAGCTCAAAGTTTTGTTGTTTATTACATGAGTTGCGCTACGGCAACTCAAATGAGCATGCGCTCGAACATGAAGTACTCGGCTCAAATAATCTAACTAGACGCATGTATACAGAAATTAAAGTATGAAAATAATCTTTAAAAATTTTAAATTGCATGAGTCGCACTATAAATAATATTGAAATGTGACTGTGCTTGTAAAATTAAAATATCAATTTTTGTATTTTCTAGTCGTATTTTATACGGAGTTGACCATCATTTAACAAAAACTTGCAAATTATTAAGTACTCTCTTATACATCTAACAAATTGTTCATAGACCATCATTTAACAAAAACTTGCAAATTATTAAGTACTCTCTTATACATCTAACAAATTGTTCATATTCTAATTTATTTATTTTTTTTGTTTAAAAAGTAAAAGATATTTTTCTCTTGTACTTGAGTTTTAATAATAAGAAAAAACTACATAATTTATTAAATAGACTGCTATGAGACGGTCTTGTAGTCCCGGCATTCTTGTTATATAACAGGTAATTTAAGGTTCCATGTCGTTTCATTGAATATGTCACAAAAGAAAGAAAAAGAAAAAGAAAAAAGATTTACTAGTAAATTTTATACAATCAAATATCGTTTTTATTTAAAATTCAGTGAATATATAGATTGAATTGGGAAATCTACCAAGTATTACATTGGAAGCCTAGCACAATCAAATTGTTAAAATCAATACATAAAGTAACTGATAGATTCTATACATGAAGTAATATAAATGACATGAATATTAATATATTGTCTCGAATAAATTATGCAATATGAACTCTATTTAACCAAATAGTAAAAGATAAACACAAAAAGAAGACGAAAAACAACATAATAAGCTAAAAAGAAAAGTGGAAAAAGATTAAATCATGTTTAAGTATATATTTATTGATTTAATCTAAAACAAATTTTATTTATTTTGGCCAAAATAAGATTAGCACAGGACTAATATAATATAACATGAGTTAAAGTAATTTTTTACTAGTATAAATATTAAAAAAACTAAAATATTAAGAGCGGTTTCCTTTGGGGTGGCTCCGCCCTTGGCTGCACTGACTGAATCTGTGCTTTGCTTCCCCACTTGTAATCAATATATAGGAAATTGATAGTCAGATAACAATTGCGGCCAATATATAGTTCATGTGAGGTTTTTGGTTACATGCATATGTTGGAATATGTTATGTTATTGTGAATTCGACAAACCCCTATGTAAAATATATTCCTGTGTTTGCATGAGTTAGTTTCGTCGCGTATCAACCCCAACTCTGCCAGGACCTTTTATAATAATGTTAGCATAGCCCAATGTAAGCAATATTTTGTTTCTCAGGTATTGGAGGAAGCACTGCTTTAAAACAAATTCGCCAATACGGCTCAATTGAGGGCATTATGGAAAATCTTAATCGGAAAAGGTGCGTCATATATTTTTTTGAGAAAATTTCTTGACTGAAATTTGTGTTCTATTTTCCGGAAAGTCATTTTATCCATCCCAACAAGGTTAATTTTTGGTAAAATAAACTCCCGACGATGTTTCATGTTCAACTTATTGTACGCCATGCGATTCTTTTTGTTGATCTCGATCAAATATACAAAACGTGCACATACTGTGGTCTGGCTAGAATTTGAGGACTGGAAATGCATATTTTTCCAAGTACTGTAGAGTGTAATGGTTATATTTCCATTCACAATTATTTGTAGTTCATTGACAACGGAGACGTTAAAATCATTTGTTACTTATCATCTTCATTTGCAGATATCAAATACCAGAAGAATGGACTTACATGGAGTCTCGAAGTCTCTTTAAGGAGCCATCAGTCTTGACTGAAGATCATCAACTTCAGCTAAAATGGACAGATCCAGATGAAGATGTGCCCAACCCTGTCAAAACTATTTAGATCGATCTTAATTCCTTTTGTTTCTGCACTTTCATGGTTAATGACTAATTATGTTCTCTTCTCCAATAGGGGCTGATAAGCTTTTTGGTCAACGAAAATGCATTCAACAAGGACAGAATAACCAAGGCATGTTTCTGTTTTCATTGTTACAGCCACTTTCCCCAGTCCTTGTCATCTGAAATATGAGACCTTACTAAATTGTTTGATATTTTTCAGTCCATAGAAAGGGTTATGACTGCCAAAAGCAAGTTGTCCTACTGCCGGTATGAAGCAGTTTAATTAGAAAAGCATATTAGTATTTTGCCATAAAACATTTCTTCTCGGGCTATTTTCTTGAACAGGTCAGAGTCATTCTTCAAACCAGCTGTCAGTCAATCGGTTCCTGCTGAAAGAGTGGTAAGTTATTTTCCCTCGAGCATTTTGATTCTTCCTAGTTGACACTTGACAGATGGGTCAATTTTTTACGGTGTAGTAAAAATTTGCTTGAAATAGCATAAAGACTAAGCGTTTTTAAGGATTTTATTAGAAGCACCTTTTTCTGATGGGTTATAATGGCATTTGGCACTGGCCAACAGGAAACAAGATGTGCATTTGTAGCCCCAAAACCAGTAATGAAGGTCGGCACTTGTTATCCTGTAGAGGCATCTGTTCATTCAAGACCCAAAGCCATGGGCAGCAAGAGCCCCTCGTCTTTAGATATGCGGTCAAGCCAACCCACCATGTTTTGCTGAAACATATATTTGTGAGCAGAAAGGCCACAATCAACCTGAATCCATAACTACTTTCCGGCTCGCTTGATTCTTGATCGCGTAAAAAATGTTTTATTATATAAAAGATTATTTTGATTTGGGTAAATGGACCCTCTTATCGAGTAATTTCATTGTTGGGATGGTTTATTACCAAGACCCCTGAAATTTGGATAAATTACTCGCTTTTGAAATTTAAGCTAGCCTCTATTGGATATAAATTAGTACGTAGTCCGCGTAATGCAAGCACGAGACAGAGATATTTAAATGATTAAGTTTCATAGGGCCTACCCGTTTAGCCAAAAACATAATAAGATTGGATCATCTATTTTTCATTTGAATCATTTATTTTTCATCTGTTTTCATAAGTGTTTTTTTACTGCGGAATCACTAGACAGAAGATACTACTATTTTATTCAAAAATTTGTTGTCATTATTATTATTTATAAAAGTTATAAAAATATTCTTTGTTTTCTTATGTAATGATAAATATTTAGTATATGTTAATATTATTTATTAATATAACTAATTTAAAATTATATGAACAGATTTAAAATAAAATGTCGTATATAAAATGTTTTAACATGCATACACATGTGATTCTATTCGATTTGTTTAATTTAAAGTATCTCATAATAATTATTAGGAGTAAAAATAATTGTATATATATCATGTCACCAATAATAACTAATTTGTAAAAAACAAAATAGGTTACACTGAAAAATGAAAAGAATTGTGAATCTATTTATATTAGTTAATCAAATTAAATTTTTTCAACCATTATACATTGGAATTTAAAATTTTTTCATAATTATAAAACATGATATAAAAGTATTTATTTATATTATACTGGTTCTAAAAAGCAGTGGCTGAAATAATAGCAACTCATAGTTAGCTGAAAATGGCAGCGTTTGGCGGCACCACCTCATGGCGACCCTCATTGCACCTGTTGCCGCCCTGCAATAGTAAGGTCTATAATCCTCTTCACTCTCTCTCACTCCCACACACACACTAAAGAAAATAACAAATAAAAAAAATTATGTTAGTATATTTATTTGAATATATTCATTCAAATCACAGCTTAGGTCTCACGGCTTCCATTGCTGCTCCAATATTCCAAATGGGAAAAGTAAAGAAGAAACACAGACGCCGGCGTTGTTGAAGATGGCCGTCGGCGGTGTGACTGAACTCCTTAGGCTCCTTTCTCCCGCTGGGTATTGTAATTACAAAAACAACCCTGGAGGATTGTAGTATTTACAAGACAAAAATTCAGGCTAATACTGGCAGATGACCAGATTCTAGCTGAATATTTGGAGGCTTTATGAAAACCCCGTGAACTCTATTGGGCAATTTGTTAGGATGAAAGCTTCAAACTCGAGGGCAACATAAACTTTTTTACTACAACAAATTCTGTTAACTAAAAAGTTATGTGATCTTCCTCATCATCACCCTGGAGTTGATTGTTACAATAATCATTTTTTTTTTTTTTTTGGTATTATTCATTAAGCAAGTACTTTGTCAATCGATCTGCTCTGCTGTTCTTGAAAAATTATGATTTTGAAGACTATGATTAGCATCATATAAATTCTTATCATGGAATGTACATTTCAGGAAGGTTTTAGTTGATAATGAAAGGGAAAATGAGATTCGCGTGTCGAGTGTAAATGAGGTTCTTTCAATCATCAAATCTGATTATGAGAACGCTTACTTTGTAACAGGTATCTGCATTCTATTTCTTTTTGAGAAATTTTGCAATCTTAGAGAAAGAAAATATTATTGTTAATGGTACATATTAGCAGGATGATAATCTTAGGTTTAATCAAGAAAAAACTTCAGTTTAAGCTTTTATCAGTAGTTAATGATTCCACGTGTCCACACAGGGATCGACCTGAATAATCTGGTTGCTGGTGAACGTGGAAATTGATTATGTTTGTAATAATTTTATTTTAATTTCCTTGGGATGAGAAGTTGTGGTGAGTGCTAGTGATTGAATTATTGGAGACTGCAGGGCTCTTCACTTCTGCCATTTATGATGAGGATTGCACATTTGAAGACCCGACAATTAAATTTCAAGGTAACGGAAATGGATTTTTAATTGATTTGGGTTTTCTATGGCAAGATAAATTCTTGAAGAAAATATTTATGTACTTGACTTTCTAACTTTGCTGCCAGGTAGAGAATTATATGCACGCAATTTGAGATTACTTGTACCTTTCTTTGATAATCCTTCAATCCATTTAAAGGAAATAAAGAAGGTATACTCTTTGTATTATTATGTGGAACACCTTAGCTTCATTCATTTCTACTTTTGTTTTCAATTGTATAGATTCACTTGTGTCATGAAGTGAAGATGGATGGAATAGGAAAAATGTCAGATTGACTGTTTATGTATGTTTTGTGCTTACCATGCAGGGCCTTGATCGCAAGAAAAGCTTCATTGTTGCTTCATGGAGTCTCAGGTACTCATTCTTCCCATACATGATTCAAGTATTTTTAATGGGTTATTTTTAATACTAGAAAGTTGTGAGGGTGGGATTGCAAAAATATTTGAATGATTTTCGTAGTTTTTGATAGCTCTAGTAAGGGCGCCTCTATCAAACCACCAAACCCGACGCCATCTCCATTACAGCGTTAGTTTCTTGTTCCAACCCCTCCGCCATAAGAGCCGCTCTTTTGGAGAGTGCTATAGTGTTGCGTCATAGCTATATTCATATTGTTTATGTGTTGTCATACTTTATTCTTTTTTTACCCAGGTTTAAACAAATTAATTAATTTTTTTTCTTGTGGTAAATATAGTGTTACAATCATTTTGTAAGGTGTGGTATTATGTTCTGAACCATGTACCTGTCCATGCATTGAATATTAAATTTCATGTTAATAAGCCAGTTAGTTTAATATTTTAAATTTTATTTTTTATAGGAATTATGAATTATTTAAAATGTCGTAGTTTAATCTTAATTTTTTAGAAAAAAAATTTGCACTGCATAAAAATTGATGGAAATTACATTCCAAATAAAATAGTATGGATAATAAAAGCATAAATCAAAGAAAATTATTAATAATGCGGTAGATTTGAATTTTTATTCTATGTTAAATGATGAAAATGACATTCCAAAAAATTTAGTATGGATAACATATGTATTAATCAAGTAAAATAATTAATAATGCGGTAGATTTACATTTTTATTTTATGTTTCAAAAGCTCTCATTATTAGTTCTTCATATCTTTTACATTTTACGTTTTAATTAAATTTTTTATGATAGCTTATAATGAATATATAAAAGAATTCAAATTTTTTTATTCCATAATGTGTATTTTATAGTATTTTGTAATTTATTTATAATACCAAGTGTTCCTTTTGTTGCAAAATTAAGACTACCAATGTTGGTGATGATTTTGGGTTTTGGTGCAGAAGTTGCATGGTTGCACCAAAATTGTGCAAAATGTTTATGTTGGATGCACAGGAACCCAAACGTTTTTGTTATTTGCAATGTTACATGTGTTTATGTAATTAGGATAGACTGAGGGTGGGTTTTTGTTATTAGTTTTAGAAAGAATTGTAGGGAACTGTATCGGGAAAATGAAAATAAGATGGCTAAAATAAATATACCGAGGCCTGTGAGAACACAGTGTCCTTAAAACAGATTCGCCCCGTATGAGCGTCTGTTTCCCAGGATACAACGGAAGAACCGAATCTAATCCGGCGAACTGGAACTATGCCTGGACCAAAACAATTAAAACAATAATGGGGAAAAAGCCTTTATGTGGGTTTTTTCTTTTCTTGGTGTTATCTCACTCTCGTGTCTTTCTCTTCAAAGAAGACAAGCCTCTTATATAGGCTAAGATAAAGGACTTCATTAATTAAACCATTTAATACAAACTTAATAAAGTTAAATTAAATGTAACATTAATAAAACTAAGTTACAAGTTTTGAAAATGAAGACACAGTTTCAAATTCATTTTTCAGTTGCAAATTCATTCACACTTTTCCAACAAGAATGAGAGAGAGGAGAAAGCCACAAATAGAATTTTGTGCAGTTTGGGAAAAGAAAAATTATTATTTCAAAAGTTTGTAAGGTAGGCAGCTCATTTAATGTATATTGCTTCTACTATTTCAATCTAACCATGCCTTCAATTCCATCTGTAGAACATACCTTAAACTTCCATGGACACCACTCGTCTCGGTAGATGGAAAAACGATTTATGATCTCGATGAAGAATACAGGGTAAGTCGAAATTGACTTGATTGGAATATAATAAATTTACAACTATCTGACTTGTAATGTGAAGCATATAACTCTTCATATGTTGTGGCTCATTCTTCTTACTACAGATCATAAGGCACGTTGAGAGATGGAATATTTCTGCACTTGAAGCAATTATTCAGATATTTACTCCTAATTTTGGAAGGCGCCTAGACCAATGAAGAAAACATACCATTTTATTAGCTTCAAGGTACAAAAGTTTCGATACATCATACGCTTTTGCACACACTTTTGTAGGTTTTTAGTTGCAGATATCACAATCTAGGCAGCTTTATTTTCTTTGATACTAAAAATTATGCAACACAAGATCTGGTTTTGTAACGATATATGGATTTGGTACTTCATTTATTATTTCGATGTATCTTCTTCCTCAGGATATGAAGCCACAGATGCTTTGCAATCTCCACTGACCATGTCTTAATCAATCCATAGTAAAACTCATGGGTGAAAAAAACATTATATGTGCGTGTTCGTTGCATTATGATAAACTCTCTTTCGAGTAAACGTGGCCACAACTTGTCCCAAACATTTTTTTTTTTTTTTTTTTTTTTTTTTTTTTTTTTTTTTTTTTTTTGGTAACTTGTCCCAAACGTTAACGACTATAATAGTTGAATTGAACAAAAATTGGAGAAACAGACGAACCACAATTAACATTTCTTTGAATGCAAACTTGTGTATTTTCTTTTTCTTCTATAGAATAGGCTACTTTCCAGTTTATTTACCTGAAGTTTCTTTTATTTTCCAGCATTGACCTTATTTAATACATATTATCATTCATAAAAAATATATATAAAAACACTGTTTTATGCATGTTATATTTGACAAATTATGATGAAACTTCTTCAAAACTATTGAATATTGAGGTTTCTTAATCTATATGAAAACTAATTTTAGTTTTACATTTTTGACATATGAGAAAACATTTAGAACACGAGACCAACATTAATCTTTAATATGAACTTTAAATAATAGACCAATTTTTTACCAAAGAAAAAAGGTTTCAAACACGATGTGCCTTATTTTCTGCATGTGTTTTTTTCCTCTTTCATCCCCATAAATAATTATTAGATCTGTTCATGATAATGAGTTGACTCGGTCTTCTCCAAATGTGAGAATGGATGTATGGTAGTCAATGTGGACACAAACTGAATTTGTTTTCACAATTTTTTTTCCATAATTTGGACCTGAAAATGACATGAAAGATGCCACCACTAACTACCTCACAAACCACAATAATCCAAAAAATACCTTCTCTCTCCCTCTCAAAATTTCTGCGAAGAATAAGAAAATTCTGTGAACAGAAATAGAAAAAGAAGAAGACAAGTAATTAGTCCAAGAGTGGGAGCCAAGTTCAAGTCTTTTCTCTCTCATCAGCTTAATATCTTCTTCCTTTGTTTCACCACTCATTTGGGCTGCTGACATAATTTCTTCAGAACTTTGCCCATAAATCCCATCTGCTCAAGGTATGAACTATGCAAAAGCAAAGCAATTAATTTTTCCTTTTCTTTTCATCAATTGCATTCAAGTGTTTAGAAAACACTTATATCCTCACCCATAAGCTCAAGTGTTTAAATATTATCTTTTTCTCTTTTGTTTATTTTCTCTTCTAGTTAGTACTCAAAAGTTTGGGAACCTTTTTTTATCATCGTAAGTGGTAAACCCAATAAGTGGGAGCCAAAGAAGAAAGGAAAAAAGAAAGCCAAGAAAATGGAAGAATTTGAATCCTCACCCATAAGCTCAGGATCACCATACTCAAGTTCCACACACACAGAAGCCTTAACCGAATTCTCTATCTTCATCGACAAACTCGACCCGATTATGAGTCAAATGACAGACATAACCGACTCGCCAGCCGTACAAAAAGCCATCGACTCATTACAAGCCGATTATATCCGCGCGAAAGCCTTAGTCAACAGTCAAAGCTCCCAGTCTCCCCCAACCAAACACATAGAGCACCTCGTGCAGAACCTCGGACGTTCATTGGGCCTCGTTTTTTTCGCTGGCCGGGAGGTGCCGTTGAAAAACAGGGAAAAAATCGAGGCATTGTGTAAAGAGATGATGAACGTGAGGTTCGAGTTTGACGAGATAGAATACGAAACAGAGGAAAAAACACAAGTGTTAACAACGGTAATATCGCAAGTGAAGGGTGGTGATGGGGAAGCTTTCAAGAATGCAGTTTTAAGATTGAGTGAATTTGTGTTGGATGCAACTGTTTCTGATCAAACACTCGTCCATGAAGACGTCATTAGGATCTTAACGAGCCGATTGGGTTCGTGCAGAGGAGGACAAGAGAGAGTTATTATTGTCAAAACACTAAGATATCTCCTTCTTCAGGACAATGGCCACAAGGTAATTTTTACTGAGTTGGAAAAATATGAAATAAGGTGTGCAGCATTTTCAAGTTTGGTTACAATTTTATTTTATTTGGAAGTTTTGCAGGAAAATATGAAGGATTTGGAATTTTTATCGACATTGGTTAAGTTGCTGACGAGGGATGTGGAGGAAAGAAGAGAGGCCGTCGGGCTTTTGTTGAGCCTATCAGATGAAAATGGAGTTATGAGACAAATAGGCAGAATAAAGGGTTGTATTTTGATGTTAGTTGCCATTGCTAATGGAGATGATGAAGAAGCTTCTCGTGATGCTAAAATGCTTCTGCGTAATATGTCCGGCAACACTCAACATGCTCTTCATATGGCTGAGGCTGCTTATTTCAAACCTCTAATCAACTACCTAAAAGAAGGTAAAAGATTAAAAAAAAATAAAAGTATTTCTTTTCTTATGTTTTTTAGTTGTATGCATATTNACAAATCCTCCCTCGGCCAACAAGGCGCGATTGAGCCACTCGTGCAAATGTTCCAAAGGGGCAGCCTTGAGGCCAAGCTCTCGGCCCTAAACGCACTTCAAAGCCTGTCGGATTCGAGCCACAACACAAAACACCTCATCGACTCGAACATACTCGTTCCCCTCTTACAGCTCCTATTTTCAGTCACTTCTGTCCAAATGACCTTAAGGGAACCGGCATCTGCGATTCTTGCAAAAATAGCCAAATCAGAAAGCATACTCGTGAATAAAATTGATGTGGCTCACCAGATGCTGTCACTCTTGAACGTGTCCACACCGGCCATACAACAAAATCTTCTCGAAGCATTGTACAACATTGTTTCGCATTCGGGAGCTGTCAAAGTTAGGAGAAAAATGAAAGAAAATGGTGCGATTAAGCTTCTATTACAGTTTTTCAAAGAGAGAGACGTTCGGATTAGGACAGGCGCACTAAAGTTGGTCCACGTGCTGTCCAAGGATATATTAATACAAGAGTTAGATTATGCAAATGTGAGTGTTGTCGCCAATATTGCCTCGACTTCAGGGTCCGAAATCGAAATGGCGGAAGCACTCGGCATACTTTCGAATTTGCCGATGAGTGATAAAAAAGTGACGGAAATACTTAAAAAGGAAAAGCTAGTGCCGTTAATGGTATCTAAAATGAGTTCAATCCAAATAAACTCAACACTCACGAGCACGACTGTGTGCTTGGCCGAAAGTATAGCCGGTCTAATGCTTCGGTTTACAGACCCTAATGACAAAAGTTTACAGCATTTTGTAGCAGAGAATGGCATAATTGATGTTCTAATCAAGTCTCTGTCGTGCAGTTCAGAAAGCATTATTATATCAAAGGTCGCTTTGTGTTTGGCTCAAATGTCAAGAAACACATTGCATCTGAGCAATTCGCGTAAGGCAAAGTGGTTTTGCATGCAGCCCACAATGGATGCTTCGTGTGAAGTTCATAAAGGTTTTTGTTCGGTTAAGGGTACGTTTTGTTTGGTGAAGGCCCAAGCTGTGGGCCCGTTGGTCGGTATTCTCGTAGGCAGTGAGAGGGGAGCTGACGAGGCGGTGCTGAGCTGTCTGTCGACTCTTTTGGTGGACGAGATTTGGGAGAGTGGGTCTAGATTTCTTGAGAAAATGTCAGGAGTTTGCGCGGTTATTAAGGTTTTGAGGTGCGGGAGCTTCAAGGCTCGAGAGAGAGCGTTGTGGATATTGGAGAGAGTGTTTAGAGTTGAGGATTATAGGATAGAGTATGGAAAGTGTGCACAGGTTGTGCTTATTGATCTTGCACAGAACGGAGATGCCATGCTGGCGCCGGCAGTGGCTAAAGTGTTGGCACAGCTTGAGCTGTTGCAAGAACAGAGTACTTATTTCTGAGGGCTTTTTTTTTTTTTAATGACAACAAAGGATAATTAAGAATACGAGATCCTGGGAGCTTGAGGTTTAAGGAAAAAATACACATTCACACACACAAAATTGTGAAGAATTTTGAGGTTTGATTCTGCATTATATTTACCGTTGTGTTTTGTTCTGTAGTAGTAGGATAAGGGCAGGTTTAGAGATTGTATCCAAGGATGGACAAAACAAAATATAAGACGGAATCAAAATTCATATTCAAGGGAGTGGTGTTTTACTCCTCTCGCAGTCTCGCTGCTTTATTTTTGTATTTATTTTTTCTCTTTTTTCTATTTTTGGGAGTATAATTGTGTTTTCTGCTTGATCCAATTTTTACAACTTCATTCTAATTTTCACAGAAGGTGATGCAAAATATTGAAACTATGAAGGAGTTGAGTTTTACATCTTGGTAGAATGAAGAGTTTCTGCTGTCAATTGTCATACCGCCAAAATTATTGGAACGCGTAGAACACATTAATACCACAACAGGCACCAACGGAAAAGAAGGAAAAAAAAGTAAAGGAAAAAAAAAAATAGATTAAGTCAATTTACTAGGTAAAAAGCACCTTGAACACATGTATGATCTTACAGCCACATGTTGCAGGTTTTCAAACTACACGACAACTTCATAACAAGTGATTGTAGCAGTACGATTACAAAAAGGGATAACCANTTTTTTTTTTTTTTTTTTTTCAGAAACTTTTGAATTCGATTGCCACGTCACAACTTCAGAAAGCTCAGCCAAAATCACAAACTCCAACACAGTGTACAAGAAAACGGGCCTTGAGATGCTAAATCATCATTTCTTCTTAATGGCTAATACAATTCTTTCCAAGGTTTTGAAATATCAGAATACAGCACTAACTTGTAGAATGGCATCATTATGGGACTACATCTTCAACAGAAGCCTCAAGATGATTTGACTGGTCAACATCAGGTTGTATGACCTTGTCACTGCCATTTGTTGGGGCATGCATATCAATATCCATGGCACCAACACTTGGTGTCTCTCCATTCCCTATACCATTTTCCTCTGTCTGCACCGCCACTTGTCCTGAATCAGCTGGGAACTGATTCAACTCATAACTCATTGTGCTTGTCTGTTAAAATCGAAAGAGAACATACATAATCACTGTTCAGTCAAACCATAACATAGATCGAGCAAGCAGAAATATAAGTACCATTTATGTTCAGTCAAACCAACACAATGCCTAAACAAGAAAGCAGGCTACCACATCTGAAAAGCAATAAACAAAGGTCCTCTATATGGAAAGGAAAATGAACTATAAAAGTTCAACCAAGACAAAAGATCCATCGATCGTCCTAAACCAACAAGAAACCACTAGATTATTGGATTACATTTTATAAAATACAAACACCAAACAAAGTTACTAAGAAAACACAAACCTCAGCCTAGGGACTTCTTGCACTGTCTTAAAGAATATTTGTAATTTCAAAGGATAGTTTTTTTTCTTTTTCTATTCTTTCTGCTCTTTGTTTATGTTTTTCCTTCTGGGTGGGGTAGGGGATTTGATTAGGCGATATGATAAAGGTAGCAGTTTTAACTACAGCATTGAGAACAATATAACACTCTTGGATCAACATAAATTCAGAGTACGCAGAATCGAAGAGCAACCCTGGGTCAAGAGACACTTATACGATGAATTATTACAACTAATTTACTATGACTTGCAAGTCTACTATTACACCACCAGTTATGAAGTACCGTATAAACTTCAAAGTGGGGGTCATGTAATATATTGATCTGTATGATGGCCTAATAAACACATCACTGAAGTGAACATCAATTATAAAACTAGACAATCAGAAAATTGATAAAAACCTGAGCATCTGATGAACGTGAGAAAACTAAAGCAATTGGGAACAGATAAGTTGTAGTTACTGGATCATTATCCCTCCACAAAATGGAATGTGAGGAAAAAAGACGGGAATATCCTGCAAAACCGAAGAATACCAGCTAAGGATGAGGTTACCTGGTAGACCAGGTGCATCTTGTAATTTACTAGGTTAGCCATCTCATCAACTCCACTAACAAGCTGGATTGGCCCTGTGTCTCCAACATGACGGTCCGTATATGCTGTTACCTCACTTAGATTCAGGGCAAGATGGTCAGGCCTCTGAAGCAGAAGCTGAAACGTAGGCTGCAGCTCGTAACATTGTTCAAACAGAGAACGGCGGCAGAAAACATAAAGCCCCAACCGAGCACGGGACATTGCAACAACCAATCTTCTTACATCACGGAGATGACCCACAAATCGAGAACGAACAAGAGATAGTAAGATGAAATCATTTTGCTGTCCTTGAAACTTGTCAACTGTGGTAACCTACGGTTTGGAAAAAAGTGAATATAAGCGATAATCATGTGAAAAACTCTGAAAGAATACTCTACAGAACCACTAACAAGGCAGGTGGCATGGTTAGAAAACAACCATGCCACACAATAGATATCATCCAAAACTGACCACTTCTACATGTAGAAATTGGATAGTCCCTAAGTGGTTTCTAAGCCTGAAATTATATTTCTAATGCAGTATTATTGATTCAATAAACAACGCGTGGATGAGAAATTGAGTAAAATTAAAATGGCAGCCATGGAGGTATGGCATGGCACATTCCGGCCTAACCAGTAACCACCATGAGAATTTTTTTATGGGCTGCCGATATCCACCATTGAAAACATTGGTTTAAAATAAGTAAAACCGCAAAAAGTGGTAACCTTGGGCCATGTATATCTGATTACCAGTTTAAAAACATTCTCAGTTATACAGCAATGGTGTGTTACTTCTCTTATGACTGTAAAAAAGTAAACATAAGTGGAATGCCCTTTACCCAGATTTTTTAGGCCAAAATTATGGAATCAACATCAAGATATTTGACCACCTTTACTAAGCATTATGTACATTACATGGGTCGTAAATATGTGGAGGTGCTAACATAGGAGCATGACAAAGAGCCACATGAAATTATAAGGTGCGAGTCATAGCAAAAATTGCAAGACAAGGGGTATAGAGATAAAGTACCTTGTGTGGTGGCCCAATGAAATGATAAGGGACACATCGTCGATTAATAACATCACGAATCAAAAGTTTCTGACCATTGTATGTCGTCAATATTGATATCTTGTTGGCTGGATACCCAAGCAATCGCATGTACATATAAACACTAACAATATACTCAGCCTCTCCTTCATTTTGATAAAACCAGGGAGAAGGTGCAGTTTCACCTCTCCCATGGTAATCAGGAACATCCACCAACTGATAGTCATAACAGAATCCAGAATTTGCTCTACAAAACACATCATTCTCCCTCACATTAGGAAGATCGCCAAGCTCTCTATATCTCCAATTGTAAAGTCTAGCTAAACTAGGCCTAGCTCTTCCCTGCGCATTGAGCTCAATATAAGGAATTCCTAGACGGACAAATCTTGTGAACAGGCTCTGATCCATATGGCTGTACTTTTGAAAAGCCATATTTTTCACAACAGGAGGTAGCTGGTGATGGTCACCAATCAATATACAACGTTTAAGCCGAGCATAACCATCTTCCTGCCTTTGCAGCAACATTGGGATGAATGTCTCAATCTCCAATATTTGCGCACTTTCTTCCATTAGCAAGTTGTCGTATTTAAAGCCCAAATGCAGGAAATCTTTCCGTTTAAGAGCTGCGTGGGTACAAGTCATCGCTACTATTTTCGCTTGCTTTGTCATAAGGTAGTTTGAACGATCAACTGTTGACTTGAGCAGCTCAAATGCCCTACACTCTTCAAGCTCCTTAAACATAGTTTTCAGGTGCTGGAAGCAACCCTTAGCTGCATGCATGTCTTTTTCGAAGGACACGCCAGTGAAAATTGGTTTGGTTGTGTTAGAAAAGAACTCCTTAAAAGGAAATCGATCCTGAATAAATGTTGGTTTATCTTGATTATCAGCACAGGCAGCTAAAAATTGTTCCCAGCGTGAGTAGACATGAAGCAACCAGAAATACCCAGCAGTTTCACAAGTATAAGCTACATCCTCAGGCAGTTGTAGAGATCGTGCAAGACGCTCCACTTCGCCCAGGAGTTCCAGCCGCCTAACAAGCATGGCATTCACACGACCTTGCCGGCTAAAATCAAGGTCAGTTGCCAATTCTTGTTCACCTTGACCAAGTCGAAGCAAGTAACGAGCAGGTACGTCCCTCTGCAGTCACATCAGAATAGTTAAAATGATAATTGGCCATATATAAAGCACACGAACTTATCCATAGAGGAGCTTGGTTTGGAGTTAACTAAACACTGGAAATGTGCTCTTAATTTCCGGCTTACCTCCATTATCTTTTCGAAAAGATCATTCAGAGCCTGGTTTGAATGGGTAATTATTAAAGTTCTCTGAGAAGGGCAGTTATGGTAAAGAACATTTAAGATTTGCACAGCTGTATCCGTCTTCCCGGTACCAGGTGGACCAACCACCATAGTTAAGCCAGGTTGAATACCTGAGATAATGGCTTCAACCTGCAAATTACCCAAAACGAAGCAAAGGATTCAAATCATGCAGAAACACTTTATCACTAAATGACGTGACATGATGCATGAGCTTTTCTTATAAATGTGAGAACTATATTTGAGACTTGCTGCTTATAAAATTTATAAATTGTGTACATCACTGTACACTAGTCAAATGAAGCATAAGGTGGAATGGCACATTCTTGCCAGAACAATTATGCAGATATATACATGCTACTTGTTCAATTAATAGAGATATGAGAAAAGTGTTATTAACTGATTCTTCATGAAAATGTACAGATACTATAAATTCTACAGCAACAAACAATTTAATAACTGAAAAACATGTAGATGCTATCCAAGCTCAAGCACCTGCGTTGACGTAAATCTAACAGAGTTTTGCTTCGGTTGATCTTGCGGATATGGCCCTGGATCAGGAGGAACATAAGCCTCAACTAGAAGCTCCACTTTCTCAGAGTTACCATCTTCCACAGCACTTACATCCTTTGAAGATTTTGTAGATGCATCACTGCCAGGGAGAGCATTGACCTTGCCTTCATCATTTGTGGGAAACTTAATACGGAATGGAGGACAAGGATGCAAGTTATCTGTGCCATCCAAATTTACAAAACGAAGCTGCACACAAAATAACATGAGTTATAAAAGATGGAAATGTGAAGCAACAAAAGATTTAAAGTTCAAATAGAATAAAGAAAATCAATCCATATCAACAAAAGAAAAGTACCTGATGATTGGGAAAGCTCTCTTTGACATGATCAACATCAAGGAAAGTATCCTTGAAATCAACCGTCTGAAGGAGGTCCGGCATATTGGTCCATTTTGCAGCAGAAGGGTTTCCATAACCCAAAAATATGTCATGTAACCAATCAGGAACAATACAAGTTTCATTCATTAGATCCCTTATGGATTCCAAGATTGCTTTAAAGTTGTTCTCTTTGGGTTTCCGTCTCATCAATATGTTGAAGGTGTTGTACACGTCATCTGCACCCTTCTCTGCAATATCACTAACATCCATATGATACTGGGCTGTGTCTAAGGCAATAGTGACAGTCCTCAGTTCTCCTTTAGGAGGCTTCCACTCATCACGTTTGATTCTGCCAGTAAAATCATTCATGAGAGTTCCCTCTTCATCACGTATTTCAATAATCTCACATCCACGTACATATTGAAGACCAAGCTTCTGAGGAACAGTTGCTTTCTCTGCTTCTTCTGCACTTAATGGTTCAAATGATGGGCGAATAGAGAGCAAAAATAGAACATCATGCTCCTTAAGGGAATTCCATTCAGATCTTATTTGTGCTTTATAGCTGGAAATGCTAAAAGTAACTTCAGCTGTCACTGCAGATGGCTTAACTTCCCCAATATTTGGTTGTTTGACCTCTGTAATCTTAAATTCTTTGATTGGTACTGCCATTCTCGACCAGCCACGAAAAGCAGTTTCTCCTTCATTATTGATGTATGCAAGAAGATGCGGAATGGCTTCTTGAATATCCTCACGAATTTCATACGTAGATTCAAGGCGGAAGAGGTTGAAATTTCTAAGAAGGTAATCGTGAAGTGTTAAAAACTGTAGATTAAGCTTTGGAAGTGCAAGACACCCTTCCCCAGAGTAGTTGATGCTTGGTACAAGGCTCTCATCCCACATTATCTGCTCATTGGGATAGAGTGGAAGGGCATTGATTGCCTCTTTCTGAGACTGTTGTTTCTCAAAGAATGAAACCATTACTTCAATTAGAAAGTCAACTCTTTCAGACCATGGATCATTCTTCGATACCAGTTTAAGCTGCATTCAGAACTCAAACTATTCAGTGAAGATGTGTTTACAACATTTAAACAGTATTGCAAAAAGACTAATGAGATGTAAACTTTGTGACACTGTACACTGCATATGCAGTCTAGATGCAGGGTTCATTGAATCTATGATCTAGGATCTTTCATCTTTTGAGGAACTATGACAAAAACAAGATGTAGAGTAGTAAAGAGTTCTTCACTGTTACCATGAACTCAACAACTATTAGTTTTGCCCACCTTAATAAGATTTCCATTATTAATATCTTATGGTTTGCTCTAGTTACATCTTCCAAATAGTATATGTCAAAAATATTTGAAATAAATTCACACATCCACACCTCTAATTGATTCCTCTTTGGTATCCGGTTATCAAACTCATTAATAGTGGTAAAATTGTCGTAATTAATATATTTAGCATTCTCTAGTAACATTTTATTATGTGTATATCAGAGATATTTAAAAAAAAAAATGAAAAAAAAAATCACCGAAGCACCTCTAATTCATTCCTCCTTGGTATCGAGTTATCATACTCATCATTCATGGACAAAGTACTGCTCATTATACCTTATTTGACTTGTGTCCTTGAAAGACTTAATTACGGAAAGGATCAACTTACCAAATATAAAATATAGTTTTCACAAGCACAGTATAATATCTGAGAATAAGCAGCACATCACTTCACAATAAGATTGTCATCATCCTTCAACTTTTGAGTCTAACATAAACAATCACAGAAACACCACATGCTTTTTTTTGTGCTAATTTGGGCAATGTGCATAACATGTAGTATCTTATATTGACTGATATCAAGTTACAAAAGAATATAAGCCAACATACTGACCTTTGTACATACTAAATCCCTCAACTCTTCAGAAGAAAGTACTGAAAGTTTCTTGGCAAGATCGCTCCGCCTGTTGATCGCCCCAATGTTAGCCAATGCAAGCTCTCGCAACTACAAAACAAAGTACAAATGGGTTTCAGGATACTCTTCTCCTAACTGAGTTAAAAAGTAGACAGAACTTTTCACATAGTGAACAACCATGGCAGGAATTCTGAAGATATGTACACACCTTTGGAATTTTTTTAAATGCAAATAGCTGAAAAGCCTGGAGGCGCTTATAATGCGCTTGAAGCACCTCATCATCAGTCATTTGACGACCTTGATGATCATCAATCTCAAAACATTCATAATACTTAAGCAGGTCAACCAACTGCGCAAAGAGTTTCCCTTTTTCATGCTTATAGAGAGCACTCAAATGACATTTGGAAATAACAGCAACATCAGCAACAAGAGGCCGAACTAATCTGCCATAAAAAAGAAGTAGAAATTAGTAAGAATAATCAGGACACAAATTGAAACGCGAAAATGCTAATAGGAATATCAATGACATTCTAGCAATCATTCAATAGAGAAGATCTAAGTGCAGTAAGTCCTACCAACAAGAATGAAAAACACAATTACTAACAGCACAATCAGTGGTCAACAAAAATCCCCATCTTAGAAAATCACCAACGGAGCAATACAAATACAGTGGGAAAATCATCAAAGACAGACAGTTATCGACCGTCAGCCTGGAAAAGCCACTAGGTTATTTGTAATTTAGCGAAGGTCAAAATAAAATATGTGGGCCGCATGTTGAAAAGGGAGGAAAAGTGAAAAACTAAAACTAAGAAAGGTTGAAGTAGCACAAACCGAAGGTTAAACTGACAAGAATACATCACAGTATTTAATGTCATCCATTCAATCAAGAATAGACAATAATGATGAGATAATTTTAAGATGACCAATTTCATTCTAAATTGAAAAGGGAATTTTCATATAAGCATGGACAAATATACCTCCTTGTCGGCAGTTGGCTCAAAAGATCGATAAGGAACTCCATGAATCTTTCACAATACAGAACGCAGGCATCATCCACAACTTCAGGACCATGAACATCAACTATATCATTATCCTTGGACGCTTTTAATTTAGAAGAGAACACCTCAGAATCAAGGACCTGGTAAAATAGAGGACCAAAGGGTGTTTGGATGCACAGGATATACTATAAGTAGTCAGATGAAAAAATTAACATTTGAGCTTGCAATAGTCCCACCTCCAGGAACTCCTCAATGAGATTACGCAGGAAGTATGACTCCATCATGGTTGTGCGGTCCAATGCCTCCCCGCGTTTGGTCACATCTTTAGCTCGTCTTGCAACTCTTCGCCATTTCTTTATCAAACTTTCATTGAGACAAAGTTCCATCTAAGGGACATGGAACAAACAACATCCCAACATGTGTAAGACAAAGATTTAAAAAATGATTAGCATGATTTATGCGGTATATCACTTACCAAATTTTAACAAAAGGAAGAAAAAATAAGAGATTTTTATGTAAAACTGGTAGAATTATGAAGCTTATATACCTGAAAACGACCATATGATAGGCTATGCCAACAGTCCAAACTCGCTAATCTCATAATCCTTTCACTTACTATCTCATCTTCCAGGCTCTATAAAAGTTAAGAGAAGACGACAAATCTTAGAACAATGAACTTCATTTCACGAAGAAGTGTGTAAAAGGATGCAATGGCCATAGATTGATTGCAATATTTACAAGGTAAGGGTATTAGCAACCCTTTTTCTCCTAATATGAAAGGTTCATAATGTGTTATACTTTCCACTTCCAAACTTCCCTTGCAGTAAAGACAATTGAAATTAAGCATCAAAGCCAACCATAGGGGCAACAACTCCAATCTCAAATAGCAACTAATCCAGAGGGAGAGCACTTTATATATTAGTATAGAATCCAGAAAACAAGATAGTTAGGATATCGAGGTATGGCTGATATTCTAAGAATACAACAGATTCCTAAAAACAGTTATTAGCTTCAATTAGGCAAGAAAGAGTATAGTACCTGGAAAACGTTGATCATAAAAAGCAGATAATTTGTCTTCTCTGCAATAGTTAAACTTCTTCCCTGCAACCATAAGTGAGAAAAGGCACAACATATTACTATCTATTATCACATAACCAGTCACCACAAGGTACAAGCTATAGTCTTAATGTCAATCATGAAATAATGTGCCCATGGATTCACATGTCTGAAGCATTGTAATACCTGTAGATGTCTGTCAAACAGCACCAAAATTTATAAGGAAATTAAAACAACTCCCAAGTAAATCAAGGAGAAAGGTGGGATAGAGAAACTATGAAGGAGAGCTCATATAGCTAACAACAAAATCAACTTACAAAAGAAATAAGAACCATGAGAGAAACAGAAGATGCTGACCAAAAATGGAGAAACGTTGGCAATAAAAACAAGTACTTTACAAAATACATATAAGTACTCTTTGATATTTAAATTCTTAGGGGAAAGAAATGAAAAACAGGAGTACTTTTAGTTAATTCTTTTATTTTTCTTGAAGTTGTTTTTAAACAGCTATAGCTATTATTTATATCACGTGAATTGGATTGTATAAATAAATTGGTTAGAACCCTACACTATGGGGTCAATTAAAACAATGAGCCAATAATAATGGTGAGTAGATATCAGTGTTATTAATGGCGGATGACGGTACATGGCGGTTTGCCAAAATTCCGCCAGAGCGGCTGCCGTGGGAGTCTATGGCGCCGCCATGACCGCCATCATTCACAAATTTTGCATGGCGGATTGTCAAAAATCCACCACGCCATACCGCCATGGCCGCCATTTGACAACACTGGTAGATATAAGATAATGAATAATAAAATCAACAAGAGCCCATAGTGAAGCTGAACGATAATACCCTACTCAGTATCACATTAAGTTTTTTATTTCAAGACCAACTGACTAAAGTTGTTTTGTTATATCGAAAATCAAGTTAAATTTCCAATGAAACATAACAGCAAGGAGTATTCGACCACACATCTGTATGATTGACTATATTGTGGTAAACAAACACACACGTAGACCCTCCAAATTAAACTTTATTTCACATATTCTTCTCGATAATTTCTAACTACACACACAGAGTGGGAAAGACAGAACGTATGAACCCTACTTAACAATAGAAATTATGCAAATTGACAACTGATACCTTGATAAAAAGATTTAAGTGGAAATATTTCAAAAGCTGTCCGACTGAAAATAAATACCTCTTTTAGGCGAAGTACCCTCTCAAGGAATGCTTCAAACATAATCTTCCTATTATAAAAGCATACCCAAGCCGCCACGTTTTCTCGAAACTGCATGTCCCAGATTATGTTCAGTAACTCTTCATGAAAAAATTAAATAGACAAAAAGTTAAGAAGAGATGCATTCTAAACTTTACACAGCTTTCTTCTAACTAGAAATTATTCTTTCATTATCAATCTTCATCAGTACAAAACTTACAAATACAACTGCAAAAGATAAAAATAAGAAACTAACAACCTAGTCAAAAATATGAGTTCTTTTGTAACCAATGATGGTCAACAAAGTGTTACATTTTCCTTTCTAGGCTTGGCTACATAACATAACCTGGAGCGTTATGCTCAGTCATAACGGTGTAGTGAGATACTCAAACTTCGGTAAACCCTTAAGAAAACCAAGCATTAAAAACCTGAACTCCCTTTGGACCCCTCCCCCTTCCACCGTCCAGAGAGAAGAAAATGGACATAAGCAACAGATACAAGACCAGCCGAAAATCCAAGAAATATTAACAAGGAAAATAAAAAATTTAGCTCAGGTCAAGGAGCCCTTCACAGTTTTTTGCTAACATGATCCATGACACTTGAGCAAAGCTGAAAAATGACCGGCTTTCGAAGTTCAGACTTCAAAAAATTTACAGAACAATCACTAGCAAACCTCTTCATCAAACAAGACCACTCAAGCTCAGTACACCCTTATTTCAGGAGTGACTTCTTCATCTTGTAACAAATATATTTTTCATTCATTAATACAATAGTGCATGGCTTGGTAAGCCACCTTTATAGAATGTTTGTGTAGTTTTCTGCATGTCAATTATAATTAGTAGCACTCCACGGTAGATGGGAAGGATTTGGCAAGCCACCCCAAATAATTTCCCATCATTCCTAAAAATGCTCAAAATTCTTAAACAAATAGGAAAAGATAGAAGTGGCCAAACAGTGTGTTATGTTAATCATTGGTAGCAGAAACCTTACTTGGCAAACTATGATAGAATAAATTACCAAGGCAGTATAATTTGATTTTCATTACGCACATTTTAGCTGACCAAAATGGGGCATAATTAAATTTACAAGATTACTATGTATGGCATATCTCTGTACCTTCTCATTGACCATTAATATCATAGACATCACATGCTCAAAAGAAGCCGTCTCTGGAGCAAAATTTGGCCAAAGATAGTTCTCCAAGTATTGACTTACTTCTAGTATCATCACCCTCTGCAATGGCACAGGATTTCTCCCGCCTACAGCCATCAAGAACTGAAAGTTATACACAACAATCCAACTACAAGTTTACAAGTAAACCTGACTTGATGCAATTGAGCTGATCGTCATGGATAAAAGCAATAAAATACTAAACATGCTTGACTGTATCATTTTTACATGATACACACAAGTTTTCAAGTTTTCAGGTACACAATTTTTTCTGGAAGTCTAAGCTTGAGCTGAAGTTTCCGTGTTTCACATTCATTTATCATTCAACTATAAAATTTGAAAATCACTATTTCTGAATAAACAAGTAAAACCAAAAGAAAAATGGTCCCTGAATCAAAACTATCAACAAAATCATGTTAGTACACCATTCCGTTCTCCCCTTTCAGGTACTGAATTCATATTCACTTCAACAATCTTCAGAATACCAAAATTATTAATCCTATGATACTTTTTTTACAGCAAGAGGCAATATACCATTCAAAGCAGGTACTCAAATAACAAAACACACAACACCATCAAAATTTTCAGTTCAGAAAATAGTTATATATAAGTATCAACAAAACAAATAAGCAATTAGTACAAAACAACAGTATGAAAAGCATCATGCGTACAACAGAAGATTTCACGATCACCTTTAACAGTTAACTCGGTGTAGTAAATTTCATTAACAAGGTCTGGGCTGAAGGGCTTCTTAGGACCCGAGCTCGCGGTTTTCGCCCAATTTTCAACAGCAATTTTTGTTAGACGGTCTCTTTGTATCTCGCTGAGGGTAATGGAGCTGGGTACAATGGTTCCCGGTTGGGATTCCACAGGCTTTTCTGGAATAGGCAGCCCGTCCGCAGCCACCGGGTACTCAGCCACCCGATGCCGCCTGAAATCGTAAACTCCGGTGCCGTATATCTTTGTCATCTTCTACGGTAAATGTTCAATATTAGGGTTTTTCTTCACATGTGGAGAATTTGAAACGGTAGGAACTTATTAGCTATCTATAAACCCCAATACCAGAACTCAGATGGGTTTTTAGAGTTCCTCAAATTTTTCCCAATTAACATCGGAGTGCCCTAACACGGACATGTATTAGAAAATTTACTCACCAATATACCCCTAGTTTTTAAACTCGTATCGGAAATCGAGCAAGTGTTCGGGTCACCGGTGAATCATTGTCGGGTCAATTGTTAAAAATAATTAATTTATAAGAATTTAAAATTTTTTGTTTATACATATACATAAAAGTAACAAAATTAAATATTTTACATATAAAATTTGTACATCAAAATGTTAATTATATTATATCTCATAATAAATACTTACCATATAAATCTATAGTTTTATTTTCAAAAGAAAAAATTAAAAAAATTATAGGGGTCGTCGGGTCAACCCAGGTCAATGCTCCGGGTCGACCGGGTTTTGATCGGGTTTGACCGGGTCCATTATTACTCGGTCCAAATAACCCACCCGAACCGATTTCAGCTCTAGGTTTAACGGGCCCTGGGCCGGCCCGGGTTGAAAAACTATGCTTACCCCTTTCACTCTTTATATATAATAACTAGGGGTGAGCATGAGTCGGTAAGAAATCTCTGAACCATATCGAAATTCGGAGATCACTAAAATTCGGGTATGTTTGCATACAATAATTTTCAAAAAAAATTCAACATTTTAACTCAACCATTTTTTTTAACTCAACTTTAACTAAACCACACCATCATCAATATTATCAATATAGTTAAATAATATCAATCAATCATTCATAAACACCACATCAACTTTAACTAGTATGTAGCCCGTGCAATGCACGGGTAAATAATATTAAATAATAATTATAAATTAAATAGGAGAGTAAACAATATTAGCTAATAATTATAAATTAAAGATGTGGGGTAATATATATATTTAAGAAGTATCTAAAATATTCTATGTTAAAACGTGATTCCCATTCAACAAAAATTAGCGTAAATAACGCAAAAAAGTCAAGCTTCCAGTATATATAATAACACGACCCACATGCACGAAATCGGTGATCGTACGGTCTAAATCGGTCAAAATGATCAACTGTCGTGAATATAGTTCTTAAACCCAACCCGGAAATCGACCTGGGCAGACCGAGTCAATTCCTGAACCGGATAATTAATTTTAAAATTTTCAAAATTATATATATAGTATTTTTTATATATTTATATAGTTTGCTTTTTATATTAAAAAATATTAAAAAAAATAAATTTATAGAGACCGGGTTAATGGCCCGGGTCGACCGGGTCAAGGTCAGGTTGGCCGAGTTTTTACCGGGTTTGACTGGGTCCATTGTTACCCGGTCCAAATAGCCCACCTTGACCGGTTTCGGCTCCGGGTCGACCAGCCGGGCCGGTCCAGGTAAAAAAAACAATGGTCGTGAACAATCCATTTTACCTATAAAAGGCGAGACCCCTACTCGTTAGGGTTTTCATAAGATCCACCTCCACATTACTTATTTTTTCTCAACTTAGTTTTGTTCGATTCTGAAGAACGATTCACATATTAACTTTGTGAATATTATGTTTTTGTTTCAAAATATTGAAAACTTATTCGAATTCAAAAAAANTATTCGAATTCAAAAAAATTAAAACCGCTTGATTTTGTGCCAAATAGAGTATGTAAGATAGTTGAGATTCTATAAATCTATACTTATATAATAAGGTGTACCATTTACGAAATTTAGTAAGTTGAAAAGTCAATGCAATAAATGCATTACTATTTTGAGCAACATAATATAATATCATATCTATACTTATATAAAAGGAGATTCTATTAATATATTTACTATACAGAAAAGTCAACTGCATTAAATGCCATTACTATTTTGGTATTATAATATTTTATTTATTTAATTGATTTATTTATTTGTTTTATTTTAAAAAGGTAAGTATAATAAAAAGATTTTTAATAACAAAAAAAGTAAATACTAAATAAAAATGTACACTTTGACTTATTTGATTATATTTGGTATTTGATTATACCAAATATATTCCTATTTAGTATATACATTAAATACTTACTAAAGTATTTATTTGTTTTATTTGTCAAAGTTAAGTATAGATTTGTTTATATTATCAAATCATAAAAAAATATTCCTTTTTTATTATATAATAAAATAATAATTAAATATTATATGGTGAACAACAATAAGTAAAACTGTTACTTTCTTTTATATCAAGGGATAAATTTATATGCTAAAATTAAATTTTTATTAGTATAAATGTTTTAGTGAAATAATATATTAATTAATTTACAAGTTAGCCCTAACATGCTCATGTTTAATGTTTTAAAAGATGTAGAAAAAAACTTATAATAACTCTATTGTTTTTTAGACTTAAATGTTGATTAAAAGAGGTAAAAATTCCTAATTTTTTAGACTTAAACGTTGATTAACACCATAGATTGAGAGTCTATATTTAGTAAAATTCCTAATTGTAATAAAAAAATTAATTTTTGCTATATTTTAGAATATCTTTAAATTCATTATTAAAAAAAAAAGAAAAACAAACTACAATAAAAAAAAGCAAGTCAGCTATATATCGATTTGTTGTACTCCTCAAATCACATTCACAATTTGGCTACAAGGAAAGGAAACTCATTGATTAAAATATTATTTTGTCAGTAGTCTTAATGTACAAGAGATTTTAATACTCCACTTGAATATGATAAAACTTTTATTGAACATTGTACAATTTTCTTGTGTATTATAAATTTTTATTGAATATTGCATCTTATAATATAATATTCTCCAAATAAACATATCCCGTGCTTCGCACGGGCCACGTACTATATATATCCCATATATTTTCCTTTATTCATGTATATAATTATAAGCCTGGATAAATAGCTTTAAAATTGTGCACCCCGTGCATTGCACGGGCTCTGTACTAGTTATCAAAATATTGGAAACTTATTCAAATTAAAAAATGTTTGATTTGCCCAAAGCAAAAAAGATTATACTTATCACATTCTCATTAAATATAGGAATAGGAATTTAAGGACCAATTATCTTGAAGATCTATTTCTCCATTTATTTGGATTCTTTAGAATCCTAAAATAATGTTGGGATGTAACTTGAGATATCTAATAATACACGTGTTGAAAATAATAATTGTATTTTGGATAGTTTAAATTATAAAAATCACATTAATGTTGGAATATTATTCAAATGCAAATTAATATCATTGTGTGTAGATTAACCAAAACTAATCAATTTATTAAATAATTTACATTTTAGACTATTGTGTACTTATTTCTTCTTAATTCGTTTACAAAACATATTGGATTGCACTTATCATTGCAATAGTAACAATCAATAATCCGTAAATATGGTTTATAAAAATCAATAAGCCGTAAATACGATTTTATCTAAATATATGATTTTACAGTGAGTTTAATTGGATAGAAATTTAGAGTACTGAAAATGGTTTTCATTACACACTCAGATTTATAAATCTTATTGTATATTATTGAAGATGGATAAGCGTATAATCGATTTAAATTATAAATACAGATTCGAAACAGATTTTTGAACAAACAAACAAATTCCACAATTTAAGGGCAATATTAAACGAACAAAAAAAAAGTTACTATAAATGGCATGTAATTAATGCTAACTGTATTTTGACCAAAAATTAACTTACTATTTCTGAAAAAAGTTAATTCTTATTATATATATATAGATTCACTATTACTCAACTCACTTTATTTTAACTAATCATCACTTCAAATCATCTTTATCATACTTTTACATTAAATCAATTTTAATTATTTTAGTTTAAATATTATTTTAATATACCAACTAACAACTAACCATACTACATTTTTCATAATGAACCAAATCAAACCAAAAAATCCAACAAAACTAAAAATTTTACAAGATTAATATTATTCGGGTATGTTTACAAGATTTTTCCAAAAAAATTCAATTCAAACTCAAATCCAACTCAACTTTAACTCAACACATACTATTCTCAATATTATTAATATAATTAAATAATATCAATCAATTATCCTACAAATCAAATCAACTTTAATTTACTATTTATCCACTCAAATAATTTTAACTACCTATCACTTCAAATCAATTTTCTCCTATTTTTACATCAAATTAATTTTAATTATTTTATTTTTAATATTATTTTAATAATAAATTCAAACTCCCACTCAAACCTAACAACCAACTTTTTCAATATTAACTATAGTTAACCAAAAAATCAAAACCAAAAAAATCTATAAACAAACATGTCAATCTTCAAAACAATACCAAAAGTCGGTTCGGTTCGGATAAATTTATTTTTTGGTACGGTTCAGTTCAGTATTCAGGACTATTAGAACGATTCGGGTTGGTTCGGTCTGGAGATTTCTAATTGTTTTTTTTTTTAAATCAAATGAATATCTAGTTATATTAAATTTTGATATGCTTTAAAAAAAATTACATTTATCAATATTTAACCAGTAAAATTTGTTATGATGGAAATCAACTTTAGGAAATCCAAGTAGTGATGGAAATTTTTTATGCAAATAAAATATAATACAATTGTTTCTTTAAGTATTTTTATAACTTTTTATACCATTTTAATTATAAGATGCAACAAGACAAAGAAAAGCATCAACAAATATAATAAAAATACATTTTTCAATTAATTATAGATCAAATATTATTAAGCATGAAATTTAAGTGAAGCTTAACTGTTATTATTATATGTTATTAAGTATTCTAAGAATACTCAAATTATATATGATTAAAGTAGATATAACATATATGAATGAGACACATCTAATAATATCCATTCGGACAAACCCCATTGAACACGAATTTGTACCCCTCTACTGTCAGCACTATGTCTAAGTTCCTTCTCCAATCAGTGTAATTAGGACCAGTAAGCTTGTTTTCTTTTAGAATGACAGACAATGAATTGAGAGACATGTTGAATGTATTATGAGAATCATGAAAAAATTTAATGATTATACAATTGAATTTAACTTGCTAATATTGATATCCTCAAAACAATATTAACTTAAATTAATCGACACCTCAAAACACCGACAGTTC